GATAAATGGATTAAATGATAGGTCGAGTGATGTGGGATGGTATAAGGTGCAGTATATACTTGAGTTTTGAAAGAATAAACTTAAATTTTTATTTTTGAAATGAAAAGTTAGAAAAATATGGATGAATATAATTTCCTCATCAATAAATATAGCAACGACATGTCAACTTGTTGTATAAATTGGATAGGACTACTCTCCAAGGCCGAAAAAAGCCAAAACCCATCATGGCTTGCACTTGGCAACTAGTGGTATAAATAACGCTATTTGGTGATAGGTTGGCACTTACTTGTGCAATGTAAAATTTAGTGTGTGTCTGAACCAAATTATTTTTGAAGAATGTATTTTGAAATAGTAGTTTGATGAAGAATGTGTGATTAAAAAATAAGGAAAAATTTTGATTTGTTTGTAATATTATTTTATTGAAGAATGTGTGATTGAAATGATGTCAAATCACTGTTTAATGATATTTTTTTTCAAAATAATAGGGCTTAAACAGTGCCTTAATATAACCTTATTTTTTTATTGGCAGAGTAGTCATTAGTTTAGGAGTTAGATATTTGAGTGACTATTATTGTCAGAAAATAATTTTTGTGATGATTGGCATAATTACTCAAAATATTAGTGACATTAGAGTAATTAACCCCATATTTCAATATGTTAAAAACAAATTGCGAAAATTACACTTAACCATATCTTTCAAGATCCAATTTTATAAACCAAATCTGAAGTTTGTTTATACAAAAATCAGATATTGATTCAATATTAATAATAAAATTAATTCCCAATTTTCATACAAACCCTAAAAATCACTCATATTCACTCACGACCTCTCCCTCGTTTTGTCCTCGACGTTCCCACGGTCTTTCTCTCGTCCAACACAGCATTCCTCTCGTCTGGCGCCCGAACCATCACTTTCATCTTCGTCCGACGTCGAAACCACCTCATTTCTTAGATATGGTTTTAAACCATTAGGGATACAATGGTAGCCATTAACTAGTTTTGGGAATTTATCATGGGTGTAGTGGTTGTGGAGTAATGGAGATGGTGGTGGTGGTGACGATGGTTGTTGGTATAGGTGGTGGAAATGGTAATCTATGGTAGGCATTTGCTGATTTGTGTGGGTTTTGTGTATGAAATTGTTTATGTGTGGTTGTGGTGGTGTTGGTGGTTCGTTGGAGTAGTGGTGGTACTAGCGGAGATGGTGACGTTGGGGTGGTGTAGGTGGCGGTTCGTTGGAATAGTGGTGATGTTCTTCACTGTCACTTGTCGTCAATGGTACCGGCTCTGATTTGGGTAGATTTGAATCTTTTTTTTTTCTTTTTTTGTGATGTTTGGATGGTGTGGTTGATGTTGGCTGAGATTTTGGTAATGGTAGTGCGATGGTTTTGTGGTGGCATGCGGTTAAAAAATCACAAATTTTTGGGTGTGTTTCAACTTGTGGGTGGGTTGGTGGTGGTGGTGGTAGTGCTCGTGGCAATAGTGTTTTGGGTGGCGATAGCTTTGTTGGATCTTGGCCGTTGTGGTGCTTGAGATAATGGTTTTGTTGCCCGAACTGTAGATGACCGTGATTGTGGTTGTGGATTGACAGTGGTTACCGTGTTGGTAGTGGTCACAAATTATTTGGTTGATTGTAACCATTAAATTGGTTAACCTATGACTGTATTACAAGTTGTGATTTATAATATTTGTGATTTGTGACCAATAAGTAAATCGTGATTTATAAATTTTTTGATTTCTAAGCGATGAATGAACTGTGACCTATAAAATTTTTGAATTATGACCGTAAAATAATTTGTGACATAAAATTCTGATTTGTGACAAAAAAATAATAAGTGACCAACTATATCGTTAATTTATGACCAAATTATATAGATTTGTGACCTAAGTATGTTTAATTAGTAAAATAAATAATTAATTAAATCATAAATACATTAAAATAAAAATATGATTTTTGAAGTTTGAAACTTGATTTATTAATTTTGAAATATGTGATACTTAAACTCTTATTTATAAAATTTTCCCAAACGAATTTGGAAAGAGCTAAGAGGAGTAAAAGTTGAGGTTCTGCTTATTAGTGGAGGGGTGATCATCACCACTCCCTGATTGATGTGATTTGATATGAGATCGATTTGGATGAGAAAAGGAAATTCATTTGATTAGCATCTTCTAGGTGCTATATTGCAAAGACATGAAATTGTGAAACTCTGTTCTCAACTGAGGCCAAACCCTTTGATTGCTTGTTGTATTAATTTTACTATATTTCTCCATCTTTGCATCTCAAAGCCTATAATACCCGTAATAGATAGAAGTATAGCGTAATTTCAATGAGTCATTCGGTTTGAAGAACTTAATGATTACCAACACTCTCGACGAATAACATGGCTCTGAATAAAATGACGGGAATTAAAAGATTGTGGAGGATGAAAATCGAATGAGAAATTATTCATAATTACATATATAACCATATGAACATTAAGTACTTTTAAATAATTGTGAATTGTAAGTAACATGTGGGTAATAGTTCCACGTCCTATGAAATTGATTAATGAAAATTATATTTGATCGGCTTAAATTATTTAAACTTTCTCAAACATCCACATATTTTGGGTGGTAAATTTGTTTTATTATTATGTCATGGAGGGGTTTTCTTAATTTCACAAGATTTTACTACTCTTGAGTTCTCAGATTGGAGTGGGCTAAATGGATACTATGATAAAACAAAGGGTAAATTTTATTTGTGGGAAGGGCACTTTCACTATAATTTAAATAAGGTATTTGTGTTTTAATTTTATTTAATCGAGTAATACACTTTAATTTAATTTCAATCAAAGTAACTTCATCTAATTTTGTCACTTGAACTAACAAAAATCAATAACATAACAATCAATAAATGATGCTTGTCATTTTATTTCAATGAAGTTGTGTTTATTTCACTTAAGCTACTAACTGTTATGGGATAATCATATTATTGATTAACAATATTGTCATCAATAATTATCGGTAAAATTGAAAAAATGTTATCTTAATTGGAATTAAAATAAATTGTATTACATGATTGAAATTATATTAAAATTGAAATCTAATGCGATTCTAAACTTCGGGTGGGGACTAGGCTTTGACACGTCAAAAATTGGGCTTTTCATTTAAAGTTCGATGTTGAATAACCATTGTAAGTTCACTACCAGGGGCATAAGTAGAGGAGGCCTATGCGAGGGAAAGAGGGAAATTTACTTCTTAGGATCTAATTTAAGTTAAATCCACAACAAAATTAGCATAAACTCCCGTTGCTTTCATGGATCAACTATTCCTCTTCTATACCTCAACTCCCAAGGTTGATACCTCAACCTACCTAGAAAAATGATCCACTAGAAAATGGAGCTTGAACTAGTCATAAGCTCAAAAAGCTTAGAGGGAGGGGTATGTCTTCCAATCATCCACTCATTTAGTTTTGACCCTTCTTGAATCTCATAGACATGTCTCATTATTTTTCGTGGATCGTTGAGAAGCTTGCAAATTAGTGCTCGCCCTTTTCCGACTCCTTACCTGACCTCCCAAGTCAAAAGTCAGACCAATCGAGAGCAAGATTTTCCTCTTCCCCATGTTATAGGCGGTCTTAACGTTACCAACGGTACATAATAGAAGCCACACATCCTATTGTTGCCATTTAACCTATCAAAAAATTGAAATATAATTACCTGATTAAATTAGGGTGAAAATACTTAATATACATTAAATTTGCACTCGAAGAAAGAAGTGGACGTGGCCCAATTGAACTATCATTTGGTCAACGAGAGCACATGTTCTTCAAAATTGAAATGAAAATTAATCCTTAATCTCTTTCACTGAATTGCAAGTTAGTCACTCACCTACAAAATGGAGTACATTGGAACTGCACACTTGCAAATATGTGATTTTCACTTGATGATGAATAATTCTTTAAGGGGTTCTACAAGAAAATTTCCTTTTGCCAAATAAATTACCGTACCAAGTAAAATCTTACAAAATAGTGCTCGAATAATAAAAATAAAACTACAGTCCTTTTTCGTTTACTGGTCAAATCACTTGACTAACAGTAACGAGCTCCACTAACCGACTTCCTTTTGAGAATACATAACAATTGTTTATCAGAGTCTAATTGAATTAGGTCAAATAAATTACTACAAACCATTTGTTCCAAATTTATTACTAATTTAGCAAGTTGATTTTTAGCATTTAGTAAAAAGCTCGTTAGTTATCTATTTTGCTATTATTGTATATTTATTTTATTAAATCATTACATAACCCTCACACGTGCAATTAAGCTTCTCTCCAAGAGAAATTGTTTAAAAATTTTAATCAACAATTTAAGCGTTACACGATATATGTTGTCAAGCAACCATCACTTTTAACTGGGACTGTAGAAAGATATTATCAAAAAATACCTTTCATCTATGGTGTAGAGTGTGGGTGGAAGTTTTATATAGGGGTAAAGTCAGGGACAGATTCAGGATTGGATTTAATACCGGGTTACAAAATTTCAAACCGAGTTGCTAAGCGGAAAAAAAAATTTATACATAAAAAATTGATTTTTTACCAAAAAATAAAAAAAATACCTTAAAAAAAAGCTCTTGGGCCTAAGAGAGGGGGGCTA